TGGCCCAGGACTGGGCAGTGTTTCGTTCTATTGTGTATAGGGTCGCTATGAGTCAGTACTGACTTGATGGCACCTAACAACAACAAAGTCTAAACCCTTTTTTATACAAAGCTCAGTATATATAATGTATTTGCACAGAAAAATAACCCCTAAACAGTTTAGTCAGACTTTTATTTACTTCAGGGTGCACCTCTGTTTTTTCCAAGTATTCTACAGTAAATCTCACTGCCATGGAATCCATCAGTACTCAGCAACCCTATAGCACAGAGCGCTGCCCCCTAGGACTTCCCAGGATATAAACCTTTTTGGAAACACACTGTCACATCTTTATCTCCTGAAGCAACAGGTAGGTTTATGCTGACCTTTTGGTTCACAGCCGAGCGCTTTAGCCACCGTTCCACCAGGATTTCTCTTCGCACAATAAACATGTATCCTTGTTGTTAACTGCCTGCGAGTCAATTTGTACTCACAGCGATCCTGTATAGAGTTTTCAAGGAGCAGCTAGTGGGTGGGTTTGAACCACCAACCTTGTGGTAAGCAGTCAAGAGTTTACCTACAGCGCCACACCAGGATTCCAAACATAATTTACTAAAGAATTATTTGATAACTTTTTAAAAAGATGCCTGTGCTTGGTCTATTCCTGTTCTTCAACTTACAGGGAAAACAATACTTACTTTCAAGTCACCTTCTTCTGTCCCACTTCAGGGCCGTCAGCAAACGTGACCCCTTCATGGAAGAGCTAAGACACAATGGCAGCTTTTCTTCAGCTGCCACTCAGAGGGCGACTCTAACCCAAGGTAATTAAGACACTGTCATCAAGCAATCTTCTTGAGACCGTTTCCGGTGAAAGAGGCGGAAATAAAAACTGCACAGGCGCAGTAGATCAATACGCGGTATCTGGTCACCGCCCACTAGGCGGGAGAGATAAGTTTCGGACAAGCTCACTTTGCCGGCTCTACCCGGAAACTGTAAAGTTACTTCCGCCCATATTAAATATGGCTAACCGGTGTCGTTCCTCCACCCCCTTTCTCAGACTAGAGGAGGGATATCGCCTCTTACACCAAGCATGATTGGTTCGCAAGGAGACCCGAACTGTCTCTGATAGAACCGCAAAAGACGACGCTCTAGCCTTGGGAGCTGGGTCTCGCTCAGTCCTACGTTTGGATCCAGGAACCGGCATTTTCCGGGCTGCTCTCGATGGTATCTTTGGGCGGATAGAGAAGGCCGCGTAAGGAATTATGGGGGTAAGGATGGCGGCTTTCAAGGTGCGGATTTTGTCTCTCTGAGGCCGCCTGAGCCAAAGGTGGCCGCTCCAGCAGAGACCGGAGATCGGGCTCGGTGCGGTGAGTGCCCCTTTTTCCTTCTTGCCCTCGCCAGTCGAGATCGCTCCCAGCGGCGGATATCAATCCCTTGCTCAGGTCTGGGTTTGGAAAGTGCCTTTCTCGGTCCCTTGTCATCCAACTGGCCTTACCTCCGGGATGCTGTGCCACCCAGCCTGCCCCGACCCCTGTCCTTACTCTGCCAGATTTCGCACCCTTTCTCAGGCCTCCGCCTTAGCAATGGGTATCCGTCAGCCCAAGCAGCCGTCTTTCTCGTCTTATGGTAGCATCGCCATCAGACAACTTGGTGGGCGATCTCCTTCCTATACTAGAATGTTAGGTGCTAGAGTGCGAGGATTTTTGCCTCTTTTGCTTTCTGCTGTATTGCTTAGAACAGTGATTGGCTCACAGAAGGCACTCAGTATTAGTTGAATGAGTAAATCCAGCTTGTTTCTTTACCGTTTTTCTCATACTGTTTTACGACGCACTTCTCCAGAATCTAGCTTTTGACGCCTTCTTTTTTTTTGTCTTGTCAACTAGTTAAGTTCTAGCTGTCAGACTCCTTTTCCTGTGCTGCTGGATTCTTGTTCTTTTTGATAGGATTGAATTCATAAAACGGTTATTTTACTAGGTGTTGGGGCCATAGCAGTAAATAAGGTAGGCCGAGTGCCCTCTTTTTCATAGAATGACATTCTAGAGATGTATTTCATAGTTCAAACTACTGCTGATCAAAGCGTGAATATCTTTATCACCCTGTTCGGATTTAGTCACATTAATTTGCATCCATCTCTTTTCCGTTCTGCCTGATGATCTTGTCAAAATGTAACTCTTGTTTCTGGTCTATAGTATGAGTCC